TAATTTGCTAACGCTTGAGTCCATGTACCTCATATTGATAGGCTGCTTTCTCTAGGACTTTTGTTCGCTTTTCGAGAAAAAAATTATGCTGCAAATATGGGCCAGCAATAGGAAGAGGGAAACCCTGTGAAATGCTTCAGCAAGTGCAGTGAAATCCTGCATTAAACCAAGAAAAATGATAATGCAATATTACGAGAATTTACCTAGCGACTGCAAGGCCAACAATAAAATCACTGTTTGCTGAGGCTTTGAAAAACTAATCCCATGCTGCAAAAGCATAGCTTGAGTAAACGGCCCTCGCAATGACTCTGCAACTGTATTTTCGTATCAGGCACGACCTTATCTTTGCCAGTTTTTCTCCGAATGAATCGCCAAGGATCGACTGCATACAGCGGTTTCAGGCAATCAGTCACCGACAAACGAAAGTTTCCGTAGTGTTGTGCACATTATGTTAATCATTCATTTCAGACATGTTTTCTTTTGCAGAAGATCGTATCGTTTGATCCATACTGAAGATTATTCAAATCTGGTATATCGTAATCTGTCATTATAAAAATCCAGCCATTGATTGGTCGCCTTCATCATTCGCAACTGATAGATGAAACTTATAGAAAGCAGAATGCAAAATGTGATAATGATTGTCCAGCTGTAGGCATTGCCTCTAGGACAAATCTGAGCATCATTTTGGTTGATGATATCGAACAGCAAATCAGGGTTAGACCTCAAGCTCCAGCGCGCCAATATCACCTCATTATGACGTATCTCCAAATGATGTTCACCTCTGGTCGTTCGCTTTCTTCTCGTCTACTCAAAGATCAGACTTAGGTCTGAGTTGAATCCTTAGCATCGCTCGATTTTATTGGCACCCCACAGAGCTGCGAAATGATAACACCACTGACTTCACAGTTAGATGAAAGACGAAGTGGACTGACTTCGGCACGTTGAGCTGTAGGTGCCAGTGAAGCACAACACGTATTCGATAAGTGCGATCGCACTGAACAATATAGGCACGAATTCCAAAAGCTTCTAATGAGTTCCTTTTTCTTCCAAAGTTCAAAGCGTTAGGACAACGATGAATGCATCTGATAGAGGACGATCATAAATTGAGGTCCCCAACAATTCATAGCACAAGATTTATTAAATCTTGATGTCACACGTCGTCTTGCTTCAAGACGTATACCACAAGGGGGTCAATGAGCAGGCCATAAGTCCACGGTATTTGAGCACCTGCAGTGAATTGAATACAGCAAAGCATTTCTGAGCTGAGTTGGAGAAGGGCGTGTTCGAGCACTAACCAAATTTGTCGCTATAGGCTAGCAAATTTGTAATCAAACCTTGGCCTTGACATCATGAGATAAGTGCCACAAGTTGAAGCTTTAATGTCCCCGATTCACAGAATAGAACTTACATGTATTTGCATTAGTTACCCCAGGACATATCATTTAAGTTTTCTTGAAATGGACA